TATTTATTTAGATAAGCATTACCATAAGCTCATCTTACATAAACACAAAAACTCAAGTTTATAGGAATTTTTTGCATTTTATTATTTGCTTATTCATCTGCCCACTTTTGATTCAGTCGTACAAATTATTTTTGTTGTCAAAAATAAGTAGATATGAACGATCAAAGTGAATATTTTGGTTGGGTTATTGTTACGTATATGAGATTGAAGCTGAAAGGGGAATAAAGTATTTATTTATTGTTTAAAAACCTGCAAATATGGATTATTCTAACGGAATGTATCAAGCTGACCATTGTTATTATTTAGGAATGGGTTAAAATAGATAAACATAAAATATTTATAATTTTATGTTGAAAATCAGGCCCAAATTATGTAGATCATTTTGGGCTGCTAGCCCGAATTATGATTTAATTTCTTATTAATAACGATCTTTTTTAAAAAATTGGACCCAATTCTGTAAAATATATATATAATTTTTTTTAGAGTTAGGGTTTAAAACTCTATTGGGGTTAGAAAAAGAGGGTATAATTTTGGGGTGCATGCTTTTATATAAGCTTAGTAACCATTTCACTATAACAGTATAATTTATTTTTTACTATAATCTGCAACAATAACTAATTTAAAAAAAAAAACAAATTTGCTTGCTTATCACAATTAAATAAAAGCTATAACAACATTATTAGTTTAAAAAAAGTAATTACTTTTATATACTGTATGATTATATAAGGATTTCAACGTAGAAATTATAATATGTCTGTATGTTCTAATCGATACTCTTCTAGTCATCAGCAAATTTAAAATACCGTAAACCTCCGTAAGACTTACGGTATTTTAAACTTGTTAATGCTAATAGATACTATATTAAAAAAAACATAACAGAAATTAACGCAAATAGCACAATAGGGGCGCCCCATTTTTGCTTGCACCATATAAATACATTTCCGTAATTTTTTAAAAAAATGCATAAAAATCTTACATTGTTAAATTCACAACCAAATAAAATTGATTTTACTGTAAAAAAACTTAACCGATCTCGATAGAAAGGCTTCTGCTTACATATTTGAAATCAAATGGCTCATGGTTTGTATTTTCATTTTTACTTGTGGTTTCTTCAATTCGTGTGACGGTATGTGAATTAACATATTTTTCCTCAAGACTAAATGATATAGGAATTAGTTTTGTTTTGTCAGCATCTAAAAATTGGTTTTGGATTTCATTTTCATTTTTACGTGCGATTTCTTCAATCCAAGTAGTGGCAAGAGAATTAACATATCTAGCAGTAGGTCGTTCTTCAGGCTTAGCGTCCATGTATCTCTTAGCTAAATCAATGTAACATTTAGGAGTTCCGGATGTAAATTCTGGTCGTAATCCATATTGAATTTTCATTGCAAGTTCTTTCTCAAAATTATAACCATCAAAGGTCTTTGCCCAGTTGTTATTTCTGTCATGATAATTCCTAATGAATAAATATCTGATTTTCGTGTATAATCAGATTTATTTGATAAAACTTCTGGTGCAACATAAGGTAGTACACCAAAACCATTTTCTGAAGATGTTGAGGATCCTAAATCCGCAATATATGCATTATCAATGTCATTCTGTAAGATGTTGCCGCTATGTAAAACTTTATGAATATGTCTATAAGCATGAAACATTTCAAGATCAGATGTTATACAATGTAATAAATTTAATTTTTTTTCCATTCTGATTGTGATACATAACAGATATTTTTATTTAAAGATCCCATTCGGCATATTCCAATACGAGAATATACACATCATCGTCAAAACATTTTAAGTACTACACGCGCGTTTTATAATTTTTATTAACTCACAAAGCATAATATACTTTTGCAAATCCACCTTCTCCTATCTTTCTTTTATTTATAAATTCTCTGAAAGGAATCCATGGCAATTGATGAATTTTGGTAAGAATTTTTTCAAAAACATAATAATAATTTTCGGGAAGATTTTTTTTTTAAAATCATTATCAAAGTAAGAATTTTCATGTGCATATTCATAATTGGCTATTTAAATAAGAAATTTTAGTAAAAATATTAATAATTAATGATATATGTTGATATATATTTAAAAAAAAAAACCTGTTAATAATTTTAATAAATTTTTCGTTCTAATTGTTGAAAATATTATTAAATAAATACAACTATGAAATTTGAAATATTACTTTTATTTTTACCTTTGATACAAGTAGTTTGCTTTTTGTAAATTTCTATCTAACCCAATCCCGTTTCGATAGCACCGAGCAACAATCGATAATTTAGCAATATTGTCAATGTTATCCATGTCGGCTAACTATTTATAATATGCGTACGCTTCGTTATCCATAATGATAACAATGACCAGTTATGGATGTTCCTTCGCTATGACTCTATATCAGTTTCTGGATTTCAAATAATAATAATAATAATAATAATATTTAACGTTTAATATAAGTTTCGAAAAAACATGACTTAAAATTTTTGTATTGTACAGATAGCCAGAACTTAAAATAAATTACTTTCTTGTTTACCATTTTGCATTATGCAAATTTTTTTTTTTTTACCGGTCTTTTTTTTTTCTTTTTTTTTCTATGTACATGTATTCGTTTTGAGTTTCTTAGCAGAAACCTTTAAATTTTGCTAAATATATTTGTCATATAACTATTATATGGTTATGAAATAAAATATAATATTATCTTTTAATCATCTAATAACAAACTAATAAATATATAATATTTTAATAATATTTTAATAATATATTAGCAATATGTTTAAAATAATTAAATAATATTACTAATATCTTAACACTTAACAAAATGTTAAAAAGATTGTTAATAGTAATTTAACATAATAAAAATATTTTAGCTATGGTTCACGTCACCTATACTCATCAAAAAATGTAGATCATTCCGAAATTTTATCTGATTTGGTCACATGTCTTGCTTATTATTGGTCAAAAACTCATATCACCTAAGAAATTTTTATATTTATTCCGAAATTTGAGAAATTAATTAACTTTAACCTTTAGTACTTTACAAAATAACAAATTACAGAAAAAAAATAAGCCATAAATCTGAAAGAGCAGTATCGAATTTATTATTTTTACGGTTTATATTTTTAATATCACTTAAATTAAAAGACAAGAAGCTATTTGAATTTATATGAATTTTCTTTGATGACTATAAGTGACGTGAACCATATATTTGAATTATATCCTTATTAACATAGTAAACTTATTTAGCAAAATCAAAGGTTTCTGCAAAATTGTTAGTAGCTGCTGTCGTCAAAAATGACTTTTTTTTTTGCCTTCGGCCAATTTTCTTTTTACTCATTATACAGAAGCTGCTTGAAATGAAATTTATGTCCTATACCAAATTTAATAAAGCATTTGTACAGTATGTAATAGAGATAGTGAAGTAATTTTTTCCTATTAGTATATTGCGAGCTTTTCTATTATTCCAAATAAAATTTTCCAACATAGTTTTTGCGAATTTTTTGGATTTTCCATTGCGTTTCAATATTAAGCATTTTTGCTTTAGTATTATATGTAAATAAAATATTTAATAAAGGGTCGCAGTTTTCAGCTTGGATCATTTTATTCGAATATAATTAATTTGAGTCTTCAATGGTTTTTTTATATAATTAAAAGATTTTTTTTTTGATGCTTATTAATTCGGAAATCGGAGTTAACGTAACCTGTCTATTTGCAAAGTATTTTAATCGATCATTTGAGCTTGTCATTAAGATAAGTAAGGCAGCTTATACGTGAAAGAAAAAATTTTAAATAGTAAAAAAATGATCAGTGAGTTTACCATTTCAGTAAAAAACTTTTTGCCCGAACCACTTTTTTTTTGCGCAAAATTATCAAAATTTATAAATTTAGCGAGTAAAGTATTGCTTCGGCGCTTTCGTACTTTTGATTATGAATTTTCATTACCGACGCTCATTTTTGCAAAATTTTCGATAAACTATTTGAAATCCACTCAAACAGTGAGGGATTTTTATTTTAAGCTTGCAATTGAGCATCACTACAATTATTAGAAAATTGTAGTAATAGTAATGTTTGAGTATATCTCAATAATAATGTTATTTGTATTATTTATTTTTATTCAAAATGTTATAACAATAGCCAACGATCACTATAAAATCGCATCTGGGTTGATGCTTAAGAACACTTTAAAATGTCTATGTCTCTAAAGGAATATTTCATATTAAACAAACAACACACATCTTATAACCCATTAGACATAGGTATTGCAGCCGTGGAGCTTAAACAAACTGAAGTCTTTGCATTACCTACGGCAGCCAAAGCTAATTGCAAATATGAGACCTTTGCACTACCAGCAGTAGCCGCAATGCCTATTAGCACTAACCAATAGCTTCTTAAACAAGTGTCAATATACAGTATTGCCCTTATTTGATAAGTTATTGAGGGATAGGCGGAAGAGTGTACTGAAGTTTTATTGAAGTTATAGGACTCACTATATCGGGAGTTACTATAACAAGAGTTTATATTATGGTAGTTTTGTGTATAAAAAATATGTCAAGAAAAACACTTCTATCTTAATATATCATTGCGCAAGAGCAAAAATTGAGACAAGCATGATTTATAAAATCGAATTGTTACCATATCATTGTGGAATCATTCCACGATTGGACCACAATTGTGAACCTGCATCATTAGTTAGTACGTACGTACCATTTACATCATTCGAATCCGGTTATTAAGTTCATTATGATAGCTACATTAAAAAAATATCTCTTTATGTGTAGGAATTAATAGAATTCTGATTATAGATGCTTGACGAAACTATTTCGCCTGACGAAACCATAAGCTTCGTCATAGTCTTGTCACTGACGAATTGACGAAACTATTATGTTTCATTAATTCTGGTTCGTTTACGATCGAATATTATAGAGAATTTAAGTTTATCTTCGTCTTATTGCAAATTTTATCAACTACTCTGGAAATTACAACTGATCTTGCATCTTGAAAGAACCGATGGATTCAGCTGGTAATTCTTTATTGCTGACATTTAATTTTTATGATGCTTAATATATTGTTTGCCTTTATTTAGAATATTGTCTAGAGTTTGCCACGAAACTAGCTCAACAATGCGGGCAAACAATTCTTGAAGGATCAAAAACAAGATATACCACTGGTGATAAAGTATATGAGAAGTTTGGTCAACAGACTGATTTAGTCATTGAAATTGATATAAAAGCTGAAGACTTAATCAAATCAAAACTGAAAGAAAATTTTCCGGATCTTATGTAAACAGTTTATAGATATTATCGTACATTATTGTTTTATTCGTTTTAAATATACAATTAAATTAATATGATGCTTAAAAGGTTTATCGGAGAAGAGGCGAAAGCTGCTGGAAATCATTATGAGTTTACAGATAAACCAACTTGGATAATTGACCCAATAGATGTGATTATGTGTCTTCTAACTAGAATTAATCGTATATAATAATAATGCAAATTTAATTATTGTAGACGGAACAACTAATTTTGTTTAAGGGTATAATACAGATTTGTACTTTAATATTAATTAATTTTATTTATTTTTCTATTATAGTTATCCTTTTGTTGCTGTCTCAATTGGGCTAGCTATTAATAAGGAATCTGTTGTTGGTGTCATGTTTAACCCATTCTTCATGAAGTGAGTTGAATATTTTATTAATGTTTATATATAATTCTATCATGGCATGCCTATATAGTATAGTAACCAGTGTTGAAAATTCGTTGTGATGTATTGTTTTTTGCACACAATTATTGTGCAGTATGCACAAAAATAAAATAACATTCCTGTATAAAAAATTTTTTTGCGCAGCATATTTGTAGTACGACATGGATTTCGGCCAATACTATGCCTGCATACTTCATGTGTTGGCCGATAAACTTAAACGACCTCTAAGACCTTTATGACCTGATATGATATTAGTAAGAATCATAGTAAAAAAATTTCTAATAGCGTTTAATATGACCAATATGACCTATGACCAAAAATTATATTATTATATGACAAAGGTCATACCAAAAAAAAAAAAAAAAAATTGTACAGCTTAGGCCATCGGCCAACACTTATAGGCATGCCAGTCATTCCAAGACAATTGCTTATTTTTGTAATTTTTAAAAATTTATACTTATTATATATAAAAATAGCAAAATGTATACAATTTAAATCATTGATAAAAAGGTTTCCATATAAAATTCCGTACAAAGTGATGCGGAATTCCGTATATTTGCATACGGAATTTCATGCGGAAAAATTTTAGTATTAATTCAAGATAATTTCAATATATTTTTTTCCATAGAGATGCAACATTAAAATTGTTCCCGCGTTTATTCTGATAAATAAAAAAAAAGATACATTATAATAATAATATAATGTGACATTAAAATTGTTCTCGCTTTTATTCTGACAAATAAAAAAATTCAATAAAATAAAATTATCGAATAGTAAATATGATAAAAATAAGATATCGCAAATTCAGTATCAAATCTGAAACTACAAATGATAACCCAACTTGGAAAACTTCAATATAAAAGCAAATAAAAGAATTCACGAAAGAGGATAAATTATAAAAAAAAAAAAAAAAGCTGAGAGAAAGAATCACAAATATGATTTAGCCTTTAAGGCTAAATACGCACAAGCTTTTAGCACTGGTGGGGACTTTGATTGCAGCGGGAGTGTCTCCGAAATATAGATCACTTCTGGCTCTTCACATGACCTTCGTATGAACCAGAAGTTATTGTATGTAGAAATATTGAGTACAAAGTGTCATTCCGCCACATGTACCCAGGACAGTTGATAGTATTCAACAAAACTTTTCACCAAGATCTTCGAGAATGTGACTTCTCCTGATCTCGGCTACTATCAACAAGTTTCCACTGCTGTAGCACGTAAAGTCAGGATCCCAATGTAAGGCGACTATCTGAAAAGTCGTATTCTTCACCCAAAACGGAGTTTAGCCTTTTACTTGTGGAAAGATCAAGAGTATCGCTACTTCTGTCACATTTTTTTCCTCCAATATATTCGGATGACATGGTCCCGATCCATCATCCCCCTCTAAATCATTATTCGTGACATAGACCTCTTCGTTTTCGACATCGGCCACTTCAATGTTCTTCATTAAAGATAATTGTTGTTAAAATTAGAATAACAAATTTAAAAAACAATTTTTTTTAAAACTTAAAAAAAAGAAAAAAATTTTTTTTTTTTTTTTTTTTTTGACGATCATGTCACAACTTTATTTTATATTATAAGATTTACATTTATAAAAAATGTGATATCTATTTATAGCTATGCTATTTTAAACCCGGTTGCCAATTGGTACCTATGTGCGACCTGCCATAGTAGAATTAACCTAGCTACCTTTTCCTTATCTACCTCAGATAGAGAAAATGCAGTTCATCGGCCTGGATCTACAGCCTGTCATGATCTAACTTAATTTTTGTTCCACCTGGACCACCTTCTGGTCCATATCCATTTGTTTACCTCCTCCATTGCTAAATTCACTTTTTCTTTAAAATTGTCCAGAAAGTTTTTTCTTTTTTTCCTCCTCTTGAGTCTTTTCTTGCCAGCGTTCAGTAGATCTCCCTGATCAGGTACGCTTGTCCTTCTGGTATTCTTTATTGCCTGGTGCCTTTTCTCTTTTTTCTTTTTGGAGTTTATTTGCAACTCTTTTTCCCATTTTACAGTTTCTTCGCATCGTTGGAGCCAGATTTCTTCTTGAAAGAAGCTGTGCCACTTGTCCTACCATTTGAGTATTATTAGTTCTGCATCTTATTTGGTGATTCCTGTTGATATAAGTGAGGCTGATAGGTCTGTCTCAATTAGTCCTCTTGCCAGGTAGTATCTTTTCTTATGTCGGTCTCTAGTGCTTCCACTCGCAAATGCCGAGTAGATGTTGTTTTGAGAGATTTTCTTTTTTACGGAGTCCTCAAGGTTTCTCCATATTTCTTTTGCAATTGAATACTCTTTTTCTACCCAGTGTTGTTCATCTATTTCACAAGACGTTAGGTGTTCGAAGTCTTCCTCTTTCTTTTTACATTTTCTGCTGATTGCTGTTGGGTATAGACCTTCGCAGTTTCTTTTATGTAGATACAGTGTAGGCAGTAGTCCACTTAGACTCTTTAGTCTGAAGCTCCATTTTTTATTCGCTTTAAAGAATCTTGCTTTTCTTTTTTTTTCCTTTTTCCACAGGTTTATAAATATTTTCCAATCCTGGTTGTCGATTCTCCTTTGATGAATGCTGTCCTTTTGGCTTGAGGCAAATAACCAGTCTGCTTTATGAAATATTTGGGTAAGTATTTTGATGAAGCTTTGTATTGGAGCATCGATTAGTTGCGTATTCCAGGTTGGTCTAAGCATTATTCTCTGTATCTCGTTTACCGTAAAGGAAGTTACTTCTCTTTCTTGTGTGCCTTTTTTCGCTGCCTTGTCTGCTAGATCATTTAAGATATCACCTGTATGTGCTTTCACTTTGTGAAGTTGAATAGATATATTTTTAGTATTTAGCAG